TGATGATGATGATGATGCAAATGTGTTGTTGTTGTTTTTCTCGTTGGTTTACTTGTTGCATTGTGCACATTGGCATCTGGTGAATGTTGCATCTATGCGGCTGGTTGTTGCCACTTTCATCATTGCTAGATCCTAGGCTGTTAGTGCATTTCACTTTCTGATATGCTACATTCTTCTTCCTCTTCTAAGTCCATCTCTTCCTCACCCTCTTGCCACCTGACTTCTCAGTATCGGCAGACCATGGGAGAGAGAGATTTGTGACTTTGGGACTTGACGACAGTTGGATCCAGACTCGACATTGGGATTCAGACTTTTGACGAGGGATTATTTGGGACCTGTACCGAAGACTTGGTGTTGACGACATTCCCTTCTTCCCCGTCTTCTTCGTCTGATCCCCTCCTCTTCATCTGTGTATGGTCTGGACCTGGCGCATGCTTCCATTGTGTAGCGCCAGGCCCCTCACRCGTTGCAACGATGATGATGTATGTTGGGTCTGCATTGCGACACTGATTGGGTTGATCATTGGTATCCTAGCATTCCGCTGCGCTATCCTGTACTATGTGAGGGAGGTCGGTCCTTGTTCTGGTTTGCACCCTTACACTATGTAACAGTTTGGTATCTCCTCCTCTCACATGTGTGATGTATAATAGGATGGCATGGCAGTCCCAGTCAGGTCGGGACTTATATCCAAGTCTTCCAGTGCGCTACAAAGTGCCATTTTGTAGGTATCAGGACGTACACTGCTTGTTGAGATTTCTCTAGCACTGCATTGTGCATTCAGTCCTTTTCATCGCCTTGCGGATCCTTGGTTGTATATACATTGCCCAACTGGGCATGTATCATTATTGTATCTAGTAGGCTTGTCAAATCTGCTTCCCCCTTATGGTTCTTTCCCACCCCCACAGGATAACCTCTTCAGGCTTCAACGAAACAAGTTGTACCAGCCGCAGCTCTGCTTAGGGCAGAGGAGGACGCCCACCTGGGCAGGTTAGTTGGGCTTGGTGGGTAGTTCGCTCGAGAGGCCTTCGGCCAGTGTCAACCCTGCAATGTATTTTGGATTCAGTACATTCTTGTGGTTTCAAAGGGAAGCTGAAATGAAAACAAAATGTAAACTGAAAGAGTACGGCAATTAAACGAAGGAAARAAAGAAAAAGGAATCAGAGCCTGAGGAGGAATGGCGCTGAGAGGAATGGTATGCAAGGGGCCCAAGGTCGGCCAGGACAGGGTGCACGACTGGGTGTCTCTCACTTTCTTCTATACATTCATATGAACAAGAAAACGAGCAGAGCGCTTAGTGGTACTGAGTGGCCAGTGTGGTATTATGTGGCGTTGGTGAAAAACTATGTGGGTTGGGTGGTACAATGTGGAGTCGGTGTAGGACTGGTTGTATCTCTTTCTTTTCTATACCTCCCCCTTTACTCTGCCTCCTTGCATGACGTGCAAGTGTGCCATTAAGGCAAACGGAGGTGTGGCCAGCTGGCACTCAACCACAATCAATGTTGCCAGCCTTGTACGCAAGAGGCATAGTACAAGGGGAACTGCAAGAACAAATGAAAGGGGTACCTCAAAGAAAGGCAACTGGAACATAGTTCACAAAGGGATTTCAATTTCAACAAATTTGTTGCTGTGACCAGGCAGAAGGCAGAGCAGTGAGGCTGGGAGAGAGAGGAAGAGTGAGAGCACACACACACATTCACTCAACTTGACGCAGACTCGACGCGACTCGACAGACGCAGACATATAGTGGCAAAGTCGCAGTCTTGAATTTCCGAGCACAATGTCGAAGCAAAGCCGCACTGAGCACAAGCAGTGAGGCTGAAAAGTTTGTGCCCGTACTGGGCTCGAGTCCGTACATAAGTGCCGGACTCAAGTACGGTCCTGAGGGCGAACGTGAAAATGCCTCAGGGCCAGAGCCTAGCTTAGTGGGTACACCCATGAACTGTTGAAATACAGACCAGAGTTCAAATCCAGATGATGGTTCTAGATGAATAAAACCAGATATTTCTGAATTGCCTGAATTGCCTGGGGTCTATTAGCTCAATGGTGATATCTCAGAAGGATTTTGAAAACGGGCGCCAGAATGCAGATGGTGCCAACTGTCGGAAATCAGAAAAGCAAGAACAAAAACAAAAAGAATTGCAAAACAAGAAAAAGGAATCAAATACTGCAAGCTGGCGGGTGGTAACCCGCAGACCAGGGATCGAGCCCTCGCAGAGTCTGTAACACTATCCCCTCCCTCTAGAAGGCAATGTCCCGGCTACCAAAAGTCATGAAAATAATGCTGAATCCTGTGAAGGATGGGACGGGGCCGATCACTGGGAAGCAGGAAGAAAAAGGGAGAGGGGTATACGTGGTATGCGTACTGATGGGCAACGGAGCTGTGAACTGAGAGGGAACAGAGTTTGCCTACTAATGAACTGCAGGGTTAGGAACTGCAGGGGAACAGGGTTGTCCTACGGATGGACTACAGGGTTATGATCCGAGGGGGGAACAGGGTTGCCGTACAAATGAACTACAGGGTTACAAGGGGTTCTGGGAACAAAAATAAAGAAAGGAAAAATTATTTCGCAGTGTTCGGGGTTTTTGGGGTTTCTGAGGATCTCGAAGTGAATGGGGTTGGGGGGAAAATCGCAGGTTCTGCAAAATGGTCTGGGTGAGAGTCTTGAAGCAGGTCTTGAAGTAAGTCCTTGTGTGAATAGACAGAATGCTGATGATAGCCAGTCTTCAGCAGGCTTGCGACGTGTAGTAGCGAGGTTTCCAGCTTGAAAGAAGTAGCTTGGCAATCCAATAGATGGAGGTCCAAGTGCCAGGGTGCATCCGGTACACGATCCTGATGATGRAGTCTGATCCGGAGAGCAGGTCGCAGACTGATCCTGATGTCCATGTCAAGAGTGCTGCTCCAAAAGCCTGCGATTCCAGGTGCCGGCCAATGGGGCAGCATGGTGGCCAACCAGCTGCTTAATCTCCTCGAACTGTGGTGCAGCAGGCCATCGTCCTCGTGCGCTTGCCATTTGATCCTTTATCACCGGTGATTCGCAGGAGCCACAAATAAGGCTTGGACAAGAGAGACGGAGGATGTGGCAGAGGACAGGTTGGGGAACGAGACGGAGGCAAGTGTGGATCTGAGAGAGAGAGGTCGAGGGGCAGGGGTTTTGCTGGGTACAGGGGGGGTGTGTAGAGCGATGAGGCGGGGTTTATGCAGGGTGTATGAGTGTTATGCGTTGGGTATAGCTAGGATAGAGGGTGAGCACGATCATAGGCCTGAACAAGTTTGATGGCGTTCTTGAGATTATCGAGGGGTTCCGATGTAGATTTTTCATCTTGGTATCCGGTCCATTTGACTTTGTATTCAGTGATTGGTTCCGGGTGATCGGTACTTGAGTTGTTCTTCGTCCTATAAAAGATTCTACCGAGAATTCTGGCCGGATAGGTACCATGATTGGTGGGGGTATACGATATGGGCGGTCGACAAATTGTGGAGCTGATTCATGGTATTCTTTCAACTACTCGACATGGAAGATAGGGTGAACACGACTCATGTCAAGGGGTAGTTGAAGTTCGTAATTTACAAGGGATGTTTGTTCACTGATGGGGAATGGGCCGAGCCACTTGYTTGAGAGTTTCTTGGACAAGCCGTGTTCGGGTTGAAAGCGTTTGGCGGAGGGCCACACTTTGTTCCCTACTTTGAATGTGGTATCTCGTCTGTGTTTGTTGGTCTTGTTGGCTTGTTGTTGTTGGGTTCGTTCAAGGGCGTCAGTGGCTTCTCTGAGGAGGCGGTTCATTRTTGCARGCCATTCATTAARAGAAGGACAGGGAGTGGATSGGTTSAGCTGCRAGGGGAGCAAGAAGTATGAGGGCAAGCGGGGGTGGTAKCCAMGGTGAAGGTAGTATGGGGACATGCCAGTGGAAGGGCAAACAATGTTGTTGTAGGCAATCTCGGCGGCGGTGAGCAACTGATCCCAGTCGTGTGGATGTGGATGGCAATACTTCCATAGGATCTTTTGGAGAGTATCGTTCATCTTTTCGGTTTGGCCATCGGTATGAGGATGGAATGCAGTGTTGTACTTTAGAGTTGTGTCGTAGGCTTTGAACGCATTTTTCTAGAATTGGGAAAGGAAGCGGGGATCACGGTCACTGATCATGTTTTTGGGGACCGTGATGACTTGCAACATGATCAAAGAAGAGTGTGGCAACGCCTTTAGCAGTGTGAGAAATGGTGCAAGGGATGAAATGGGCCCGCTTTGTGAAGCGGCAGACAATGATGTAGATGCAGTCATAGCGACGGTCGGTCTTGGGGAGACCGCATACGAAGTCTATAGAGATGGACTGCCACCTATGGGTGGGGATAGGCAATGATTGGAGCTTGCCAGGCTTCGCCTGGTTGGAGAGGTTGAGGACTTGACAAGTGAGGTAGGATCGGATGTATGCTTTGACGTCGGCAAGGAGTAAGGGCGAATAGAAGTAGCGAGAGGCGGTGTCGAATGTCTTCTGGAAACTAAGGTGTCCTGCGGTCTTGGCGTCGTGGTGTTCGGCCAAGAGTTGGGTACGAAGACCACGTGCGTTAGGGATACAGAGTCAGGGAGTTTCTTTAGTGTT